GTAATGCAAATATTTATTCATTTTTTAATTTTATTTAAAAACTAGGTACAAAGAACTACAAAATTTTATATATATAAATCTAGTAAAATTTATTTTAAGCAAAACTTCATTGTATCAAAAAAAAAATTCGTTATAGAGAAATTCATTATAAAGAGAATTATTTTATATATAAAATTTTCTGACTTTAATTTGTTAAACATAGTACGAATTTTTAATTACTAAATTCAGTATAGTAAGGGTTTTTTTATATTTAAAATCTGTTTGACACTGAAAATCCGTTGTATTGTAAAATTAGTTATATTAAAATTTGTTGTAAAAAGAGTTGACTGTAGTCAAATAACTTGAACATAATTCCTCAAAGTTGTGAAAAAGTTACAAAAAAGTGATGACATAGTAAATTACGATTACTTGTTATTACATATATTTTTGCTAAATTTTATCTGATACTAAGCCTTCTAGAATCACTATCATATAATTCTTCTAATAATATATGCTATAGAGTATCGTCTGATTCTGAGTTCTCTGAAAACACTATCAGATGATTCTCTCAACAATATATGCATATAGAATTACCTGTCACTGAATCCTTTAGGATTATTATCATATAATACTTCTAATAATATATGTATTTACTTATGATATCTATTTTAGAAAAAAATTATGCGTAAAAAATTTCAGTTAATTTTGGCCAGTACTATTTCATAATTTTGATTAGAATTTTAGGTAATATTTCAGTATCCAAGCTGGCATAAAAATGAGCTAAAACTGGCAAATAAATAGAATATTTTTAGTTTTCTGTTAATTCTATAACAGTTTCTTATCAGTTTTATAATAGTTCTAGAAGCATTTCAGATACTATTAAATGCTATTATGACATTAACTTAGATTTTTCAGATCATGTATCCTAAAGATCAACCAGAAATTATATCATAGTATCGACTAAATTTAGACTTAGATTTATATTGAATTATTATGTCATCTAATATGATATTTTTTACCACATTTTGGTATTTTAATAAGCAATAAAATAGGTAAAGAAGGAAAACACCTTTGATATCTTAATAGATAACTAAAACACCTGAGAAGCAGGTAAACAAAAAGATAGCTCTTTATTAATAAAAAAAGGTGTAAAAGCATGTAAATAGAAAGATATTTTTTTAATATTAAAAAGGTTAAAGATAAAGAAGTAAGGCGTAACTATTAGATTATGAAGTCACTATTAGATTAAAGAGTATAATCACTATTAGATTATGAAGTCAGCCTCCCAATTCATAAAAGTATAGTAAGAATTAAATAAACTAATAGCAAGAGAGTCGTAAAGATAACCAAAAGATAGATTATGAAGTTATTATTAAACTCTAAAGTCATCTATCAGATTATATAATTAGGTTATGAAGTCATCATTAGATTATGAACTTAGATTATGAAACATCTTTAGATTATAAAGTTACTATTATATTATGAAGTTACCATTATATTATGAAGTCATTATTATATTATGAAGTTTCCAATAGACTATGAAGTTACCTTCATAACCTAATCTAAGTCACATGTGAATTAAATAAGCAGGCAAATTTATTTGCAAATCTATACAATCTAAGAGATAACTTAAGATTTATAATAATATTTTTTTTTTTTTTATTTTAGATATAATTAATTTAAAATTAATTTTATTTATTTGTTAATCTTTATAGCTGTTAATAAATTTTACTTGTATTTTTAATCAAGTTTAATTTAACCAAATGTTAAATTTTTTATATATATAAAAAATAAAAATGGTTTGTTTGATCTTGTAACAAAGATAACAAAGATAGGCTGGTGTTCACGTGATAAAGTGTTTTAATGTAGTAAGGTATCACAAATCCCAGCCAATATTGCCAATACTCATAAAAAGCTAGTACAATAATGCATATAATTACAAATTTTATATATGTCGCATGACCCTCCTTTTTTTAGTTCTATATAAAAGTTGCTCCATTACAAGAAAATTATTTTTTAACGAATACTTCTAATGACTGAAAAAACTTCTTTTACTGCTATTCCGTTTGAGGATTCTCAAGTTCCTAGTGGTATGTTATGATTCTTTTCAAAATGCTACAAAAACGTTAAACTCTCTTTCTAATGTTCAATAATGAAACCCTAATAAATACCCTTTAACGGTGTTATTTGCCAATATATTTTACTTTTGTTAAATAATAACAAAAAAGAACGAGAATTGCCACCTTACAGTGAGAAACCTCGTTATACATTTCCTCCAACTTCTCTTGACTCCAATCCGCATGAATGTCGTTATCAGCAAAGAAAGAAAGCTTGGAGAAAGGCGTTGCTTGTTGTATTACTTGTATTTTTGGGAGGAAGATTCTTATTAGCTGGAATTTCGTACTTCATGTTTAATGTATGTATTTCAGTCCATAATTATTAACTATAAAGAGAATTAATAATTAATACGTCTAAACCTCGCTTTGGCATTATACATAGGCCAATGATGACCAATATATTTGGATTCAAGTTCCTGGCATGGATCCAGAAATTGGATCACATGAAATGCCATATAATGCTCCACCATCCGAAGCAACTCTCAACATTCCAGAATCTCCTACATGTGATTCCTCCGTAAAGTGGAATGGTCCAAGTGAATTGTTATTAGATCCTAATGATGTCACTGGATTGATTTTTAAGGTTAAAGGGATAGCGGTAAGTTTAACACAAAAGCTCGATTTTTAATATTATAAAATAATTATAGAGATTTATTTATTTATTTTATTTTTAGCACGGAAGTGTTATTATTCGTCAAGATCCTAACGCAAAAGATTTTCTCAATGTTACAAATAAAATCTTCCTTTCTGACGATTCTCTTCAAGAACAAGTTGATATTAGAATTGATATCATCGATGAAGACTATTCTGTCACTGTTGAGGTACTTATTTTATTTTTTAATTTGTTAGATAAAATTTTTTATTAAATATTTTTTTTTGCAATTTCTATTTATATAGGCTCCATCATTTGAAGGTCCTCGTCCTTCCCAAAAATGTGTCCGAGTTGATACTATCATAACCATTCCAAGCCAAATTCATGTCTTCAGATCACTTTTAGTTGATGTACCAAATAGTTGGATCTCTGCTGAAGGTTTGGGAGCTATTGATTTCGCTTATGTCAGTCTTAAGACTATTAATGGACATATTCGTGTTGATGTGAGTAGAATATATTATATTATTACGAAATTTTATTGTTTATTTTTAGATATAAACCTGATTTGTTTCTGCTTTAGGATATCAGTGCCGCTATTGCCGAAGTTGCCACCATTAACGGACACGTTAAAGGTGATTACGTAATCGCCGAGAGTTTTGATGTAAGTGAATCGATAAAATCATTTTTTTTTTTAATTTACTTGATAATTAATTTCTTTTTTAAAATTCAGGTTCGTACTATAAATGGCGCCATTGGAATCCATACAATTATTAACCCTTGGTCTGATGAAATATCCATTACTACAAAATCCGTAAACGGTCATGTAGATGTTACAGTGGTACGTGTTTTAAATTTATGTTTTAATTTTATGTTTTATATATCTTTGAATAACAATATTTATATTCTTTATATGATTTAGCATGAATTGAACAAAAAACAAGCCCTTAACTTCAAAGCTGGATCTGTCAACGGTGGCGTCGTCGCAACTATGGTACGTATTATGGTTTGGACGAATCATTATACGAAACGTATATCTAATCTCCATTTCTTTCTTTTAGCCTGATACATACCATGGAGATTTCTCTGTCTCCACATTATTTGGATATTCATATGTTGAGGGTAAAGATATTACATATGTAAGAAAGTCACGAAATGTCAAGACTGGTTATAAAGGTAAAAAAAATAGAGGCGATGACGGAGATCATGATCATGATGATGATGATGATGACGATGACGATAAAAAGAAAGTAAAGAAAACGAAGAAATCTAAGAAAGGATGCCGTCATCACAAACATCATCACAAACATCGTCACAATAGTCATGATGATGAAAAGACATCACAAATTGTTATCGAGGCAGTAACTGGTTCTCTTGAATTATACTTGTAAGGAATTAGGGTTAGGAATGTATGTAGTTAAATTATCAACGTGCGATTTGCAAATAGTGTTTCCTAAATGAAATATATATATATTATTGTTA